GTTCAGTTTACTCGACGGGGACTGTTGCCGAATCTTCGGGCGCAGCGCACCAGCTGGGACTGGGAGCACCTTCTCCTTCGCCAATGGCAACTCGGAATCCTGGGGGGTTCAGCAAATTCATCAGGAGGAGGAAACCACGGAGCCCGTGGTGGTGCTATCGACGTCTAGGAGGAGAAGCTTTCCATATAAGGTGCGACGTCATAGTGCTTAGCACTGACCGGTCGCCAGCGGGGGCCACAGCTGCGTCGGCGCCGCCACCGCCCGTCGTGGTGCCAGCATCAGAACTACACCGCCATTTCGGCGACATTCTTGCCACCGGAGACGGAGCTGACGTGTGTTTCATGGTGGCTGGCGAGCCGTTCCGGGCACATAGGAGCGTGCTCGCCGCACGGTCGTCGCTTCTCATGGAAGTGCTCTTCGATCAGGACACGCCTGGAACTTGCATTGAGGTCGATAACATGGATGCTGGTGTGTTCCGGGCCATGCTTCACTTCGTCTACACTGATGCCCTGCCCCATATTGAAGAGGGGAACCGAGCGCCAATGGCTGAGGGTTTGCTTGTCGCGGCAGATACGTTTAACATTGAGAGGCTGAAGTTGATGAGCGAGGATATGTTGCGCAAAGGTATAGATGAAGAAATGATTGCGTCTACGCTGATGCTAGCCGAGAAATATGGCTGCCAAGGGTACCTTGAAGAAGGCATGCCTCATGTTCATCAAGTCGACCCCTATGCATTTGCTGGAACGTGGTCATGCTGAGTGACTGAGCGACGGTTTCCACAATGTATCCCATTGAAATCGTTAGGAGCAGTTTCGTCCTTCTGTTTTTGTTTTGGTGTCCTGCAAATCCTTGGTTGCTAGCTTTCACTCACTTGCTCTACTCCGTACAAGCAAGTAAAATTAGATGATACTCCCTCTGTTGAAACTGTATGTCGTCGTTACCATCACCTGATTCTGCTAAATCGCGGATCACTTGAACATTTACAGAAACGGGGAGAGGTCCAGTCCATATACACTGTCCCGGGTCCCAAGCTAAACCCAAACTTGCAAACTCGTGCGCAGACGAGTTAGTACAACGTGGAATAAGAGAAACAGCTAAGCACACAAACTCATTAGCTAACGGGTTTTGGATGTCACTGAAGGGGACCGGTCAAGTGCATCAGATGTTATATAGCCTCTTTCAGAACACTTGAGTCAACCTCCAGCTGCACGTTATTATTTTTCTAGGTACATGCCAATTTGTTGCACACATATATATTATATCTACACTACTACAGTATTACATTTCAGAGGTGGTCAAAACTAATTAACAGCTGTTGCTGCCTCAACTAAAACGTCACTATTAATCACAGTTTTTAGAGGCAGGCCACAGTGCAAGCCTCCATAAATCAGAAAAAAGCCAGCACTGCTTAGCTACCGTGCCCATGCTGGGCCCTTTCCCTAGCCCGCACCAAGCCCGTTCCCAAGCCCATCGTTCCAGTCTTGGATCCGTCGTCACCTCCGCTCATCAATTCACCATTGGGTGGCCTCGAGACACCGATCTGCCGTCCGTCTCAGCATCGCCTCGTTGTCGATCCACTTCCACTTGAATCCATCGTCACTACCGTCACAGTTAAGATACCGGTAATGCTCTTCCGAGGGTGTCCGGACTGATGGACGCAGCTCCCGCACTCGCTATACCGCGCCCCTTCCAAAAAAAATAATCTCTCTACTATGCTTGGCCTCCATCGTGCCGCCCACGTCCCCCCCTCCGCGCTCCACTCCGCCGCTCGCCTGCACCGCAGAATCCGCTAGCTGTGGGCAGAAGAGGTGCCGTTGCTGGCTAGCAGAGGTGCCGTCACCTGCACCCCAACATCCGCCCGCTACGTTTGGTCAGGCAGCCAGTAGAGGTGCCGTCGGTCGCCCGGCCCAGGCCAAGGGTAGGCGCTGTTGACCACTGCCAGGCCGTGCCACCATCCTCGACCGTCAGCTGACCGGAAGCGGCCGTTCTCCGCTCTGCTCTGCGTCATACGAAAGAAGGGTGAAAATGCATGTTGCAAACGTATGTTTCAAGTGTTTCAGATATTTCATAGGTATGTTGCAAGTGTTTGATATGAATGTTGTAAAAGTAGATCTGGATGTAGCATATGTTGCAATGGCTATACACCTATGTTGCAAGCTTCTCTTCCAAATATTTTATCTGTTCTTTTCAGACGTATGTTGCAAGTGTGTCTATTTGGATGTTACATATGCTACACATATATGTTTGCAAATGTTTTATCTAGATATTGCATATATTTTTGCAATGACTTTTTAAGTGTTTTCAGTTGTTTTTGTCAGTGCTTCGGACACATATTTCAAGGGTTTCATCTATCTTCAGATGCATGTTGCAAGTGTTTTATCTGGATGTTTCAAAAGTAGATGGCTTTTTAAGCTTCGACGGGGAAACGGAGGGGCGCAAAAGGCCTCGTGCATGGGTGTGGGGTGAGTCGTCAGGGCAACGCGGAATCTAAGGGGGCAGGGCGCATGGGATAGAACAGGAGTAGGAAATGGAGAGCAGCTGGACATCCAGAAACTGGCGTCCATCCGGACATTCGGGCGATAGCACTACTGTTAAGATACTTTTCAAGCTTAGATGTTCAACAGTTAAGCACTATACTATGCCAGTCAAAATATACCTTATCAGAGCATCTCCAATTGTTTCTAAAAATCACAATTAATGAGTTTCCCAAGTGACTAAAAAAATTGGGAGCATATTTGTTGGCTTCCTCCAATAGTTTGTAAAATCTCGCTCCTAATACATAGACCATAATTTTACATTAGGTATCTTAAGCTATTTCTAAATCACACCAACAACTTTTTTATTTCTTCCTCTCTTGTAGTGTACATTTGCATCAGAAACCCTATTCTACTTCCTTTTTCTTCTTCACATCCTTCCACCTTCTGATTGGCGCCATGATACACGCGCATATATATCCGCACATGGTGGGTGCTTTTTTCCAAGCGTCAACAGATTAGGAGGTGGGTTTGGGAGTTGTTGGAGATGAGTGCCTCACAATTCATATTTCACAGTATTAGATGAAACTGAATGGTACTAACAGTACTCTGAACTATTGTTTTAAATCTCCCGCTATAGCTGCCGTTATAGCCCGTTGTAGCCTTTTGAGGCAGTGTGACGCTATTTGTGTTCATGTACAATTTGGACGCTATATCCCGCTCTAGCCCGATATGGCTTCACCATTAGCTGTTTTAGAGGTGCACCACTGAAACATCATAGCCCGCTAAACATTATAGGCAACGATTCGTAAGCACCATACATATGGGCCACCAGCCCACAGCTAGGCCACAACCGCTCCTGCATAAGGGTATGCGAGTTTCGCCATATTCAACTGTCTTGGTTGGGGACCCCACCGGTGTGGAGGCCTAGGATAATGTTTGTACCCAACACCTACGGCTCGTTTGGTTGGGGTAATGGGAAGCAGGGAATGAGAGTTTAGAGATAGGACTTTAGGGCATGTTCAACAGTTTAGACGGCTGCCGTCTGCAAGCACGGGTCATGTCACATAGAGACAGCAATACAGACAAATTATACAATGGGTTGTCTTTTAGGCTATCTGCAAGATAATTAATTCTTGTACAGACTCATAAATTAAGGTGATCAAAAATGGCTTGGGAGCACGAGCCCCCGTCGTACAACGGTGCTGGAGCGGGCGATATAGCTTGGGAGCACGAGCCCTCGTCGTCTCTTCGCGAAGAGACGGCACACCCGTCTGTTGGCTGAGTCGAGGGGCTTTTTGCAAAAATGACATCTCCCAGACGGCAAAAAGACGACCGTTGTACGTGCCCTTACAAATCTCTTGTTTGTTCTGTGAGAATGAGAGTTCTGATGGGAAGGGGATGGGGAGTTTAGAGGACCAACTCCCACTAATCAATTTCCTAGGGGAGGGATGGGAATTGGGTGGGAGTTGTGTTCTTAATAAAAAAAAGTAGATCTGCACCGTTTATCATGATTTGCCTTTTAATTTCCCTCTCAAAAACCCCATACCAAATAGGGGATATGAATTCCCTCTTCAATTCCCCCTCTTATTTCCCTTCACGAACCAAACAAGGGATTGGGACTAAAAGTCAATTTCCTATATTAAATCCCTCTATCAACTCCCACCACTAGTTTCCATGCCTCTTCCCACGCATTTGCCAAAAACACCCCTAGGAAACTTTTGGTTTGGTAGGGAGAATCGTCTACTGGATTCATCTACTCTAAGCGCCGCCGCTATACGCACCAACTAGAGCGCCGCCGCTCGATCTACCTATTTTATGCCATCGTCATCAATCGCCGCCTTGTAGGCCAGGGCGACGGCAGCCTATTACATGTCGTCCTCCACCGCTGCCGCGGCCGGCGGAAGCACTCCATGGTCTCTGCAGCAGAGGCATCGACAGGGTGGCACGAGTTCAAGGTTCAAGGGTACTCACGATACAAGGCTACCGCCAGCATTGGCATGGCCGTCTCGTCCGGCGCGTTCAGCGTCGGCGGGCACACCTGGCGCATCCTATACTTCCCTTGCGGCTGCACCGGGAAGGAAAACGCCGGTTGGGTATGCTTCGGTCTGCACCTCGTGGTTCCACCGGCAGCCGCCGCAGGCGGCGGCGGCGCCGTCATGGCAACCTTCACGTTGAGCCTACTCAACAAGGACAGGGCGCCACTGCAGTCGCCGGACAGCCGACGTGTGTCAGGTCTACTGGACTTCTCAAGCACACACAATGAGTGGCAGTTCAAGCGATTCATCAGAAGCATGGACTTCGATTCACTCTGTTTCAAATCAGATTGCTTCCGCATCAGGTGCGACGTCACCGTCGTCCTGGAGACACACGACGAGTCCTCCGTGCTGCCGTCGCCGAACCAGCTCCGGCATCTGGGCAACATGCTGGCCACCGGAGTCGGAGGGGACGTGCATGACGTTTGAGGTGGGTAAGGAGTCATTCGTTGCCCACTGGAACGTGCTGACCGCGCGGTCGCCGGTATTCATGGCAGAGTTCTTCGGCGGCATGATGGAGGAGAAGGCCGCCGTAGGCCGTGTGCGGATCTTTGGGGTCGATGCGAGGGCGTTCAAGGCCATGCTGCACTTCATGTCCACCGACTCGTTGCCTGAGATTGATGAAGACGACAAGATACCGATGGCTCAGCATCTGCTTTGTAGCTGCAGACAGATAAGATATCCAGAGATTGAAACTCATCTGTGAGAACAAGCTGTGCATCTCTGTTAACGCAAGCGTAGTGGCGAGTACACGTGTCACGTGTGCTAGCTGAACAGCATGGTTGCCGTCGCCTCAAGGTGGCATGCTTTAAGTTGCTGAAGGTTCTTGATAATTTAAAGGCACTGGGGTTTGATGACTACAACTATCTGATGCGAAGTTGCCCTTCCCTTCTGGACGAGTTGATTGCTGAGCATGGCCTGTGATCTATGTTATGTGTGAGGAAAAATGTAAGAACCTATCCTAATTTCTGTTGGATCCCTATTCGGTTTATAATGGTTTCAATCAATCATTGCCAAACTATCACTTTATAGTACAACCTGCAGTGATAGGTGCACGTTTGCTACCGGTTCATGGCTACAACTGGTCTACACTATTACTGCCAGCTGATTGGTGGCTACAGCGGGCATTGAATATTAAATGCTACATATTAGTCTTCAAGCTAATAAAGTAACCATTTACTCTTCTACGAGTTTACATAATCCACTTAATTCAATAGAAATTAAAAGTTAATAGACCACCACTACTAGTACCAATACTTCGTGATATAGTAATTTAATTAAAGACAAAACAAGTATGTAAGAACATGATTTAAGTTCTTAAAACAAACCTTTAAGTATTCTAATTCTTGTCTATTCTTACATGTCTCAGATTCTATTCTTGACATTTAGTAGCTTCATGCATGCTCGAGCCTTCTAGGAGTATAATATATGCAAGTCATATATCCTGGTTGATAGAGCCATCTAAGAATTCTAACTCAATTTCGACTTCATATCAAGGAATTCTAGATGATAAATTTGAATACTTCTAGTACTTCAATTCAATGCTCTCGGTCTTCTATTTCAAGAAATATTTCATCGGCAAATAAGAAAAAGTCTTATTTATCATGTCGTCTTCTCTGACTTTTAGTCACAAAGCTTCAAGCTGATTTTAATTTTTATTAGAGCATCGTGATATCCCCATATGGTCATATAGCTTGAAAATTAAATTTTCAATATTTCTGGCATTATGCAATAATGTAGGATATCTTCTAGAATTTCTCATTCAGTGAGTCCTATAAGTTGTTCCGGATTTAGCTTTGTCATATACTCATTCATGAGATTAATATCAGTAGTTACAAATGCTTAAGACCCACTCCACTTCAGTGGCAGTAGCACATCCGACTAGGATTTGACAATGATCATGCTTTATAATTCTATCATTTAGGGCAAATCCAGGATCTTCCTTTTTCTTGAAGACATGCAAATATCATTATAACTGAGTTATGTGCATTTGTGTTTACTACAAGTAAACAAGTAGTGAGATGAAAAAGATAGTGGATGGTTATGCAAAATTCTTAGAAGCATCCTCATTTTTTTTAGGATTTTGATATATTCAAAATTTTAGAATTAATACCAAGCATTTGTTCTCCCAAAAAATTATATGAGCCTCTCAATGGCAATAAGGCTAAGGTCTACAGGATTTAGAGAACTCATATACCTTATACGATGCTTCTAGTGTAATTGTTCAAAATTTTATTCTTACAAATAAATGCTATAAAATTTATATGGGTCGCACTAGCATTTTTCAGAATTAAATTCAAAAGTTATAGAAAATTTTTTAGAATTAATCAACTATCAATTCAAAAAAAACTAGGTAAAACAGGTATTAAACTGCACATTTAATATTGTAAACAAGCTCTTATATATTCAATTCAAAATATAAGAGTGTATAAAAAAAATATGCATCACCCGAGGTTCTAAGGTTGAAAAGTCAAAAGGTGCAATAAAAACTGAATTAGACGCATTATTGTACAAGAATAAGACGCACAAAATCTGCAAGATTCAGGGATTAATTGTAAACGTTCAGATTTACCGGGCCTTCATCTTTTTAGATTTTTTCGGATTAAATAGCAGCCTTCTCAACATTCAGTAATATCACTTCTAACCGATATAGAATATAGCTTCTTCTTTTTTTCTTTTTAATATGCAAAATGCTCTTGAGCCTGTCTACAAGCCCAGCAAAAGTCCATTTGTCCAGGCTGTAGCCGCTTTTTTCTTTCTCCGTTTCTCGACTTGCTTCTCTCTGTGCGGCGACGGCAAGGCTTCTAGTGTTAGCGCGTGCGAGTTGCCGAGCGACAGGTCGCGTGCGGGCGAACCTGAGGGCAGTGACGCCTAGCTCGCATGCAAGCGGCCGGCGGCGGTCACTTGCTGCTGGCCTGCGCAGGTGCGGACGCTCGCGTTCGTGCGGGCAGCGGCCCTCATTGTGATGTGCTGATTCGGCGACAACAAGTGGAGATTTTTTTCTGTGAATATTAGACATCGATGAATAAAACTTCTACTTTTTTTTCGTGCCATGTGAATTTCAGTAGTAGTTTTCTGATTAATTAATTCTAGATGCATACTCTATAGATGCAATTGCTTTTACATATTTATTTATGCACATACTTCTTGTATATGTATCTACTTTTTGTAGAATTAAATGGTGCAAAAAAAATAGCATGACTCGATGGTCGGAACAGATGCAATCTACGAGATGAAATTCTTTCATACATTAGAGAGGACACCAATTTGATCTACATCACATGCCGCGTAGGGTAGTGGTTAGTAGATACGTATCGCATAGGGCGTTTGGTATTGTCATAGATCAGCCTGCTTGATGACGACAATGCATGTCGATGCAGTGCAGATTAGTTACAGATAAATGTAGCAGATCCATTCCGCTAACAACGTCCGAGATGTCGACGTCATCGAAGTAGTCATGGCAAGACGACGACACAAACGCCGGTGTTGCCGATCAGCGGCGGAGGTGCTTTGCCTTAGGGGTGGGGCTCCGAAGAAGAAGCCACTGTTGGATACAGCTAGTGCCAGTCGTCGAGCTCGCTGTGGTGATGATCCTCAGGACATGGAATCTTCACCGTAAGGGAAGAAGGAGCTGCACAAGAGGCGATCTAAGAGGTCTTCATCTCCGATCCGAATACACAATCCTGAGCAGTCCGAGGAGGAAGAGTATGAGGAGGATGAGGAAGAAGAGCAGCTAGGTGAGGAGCAAAGGGACAATGGCAAGAAGGGCCGGGTGCCCATATTATAGGCGCGACCTATAGTTGTAGGTGGGTGCTGCTGCTACAGGAGCATCTTATCATCATTGCCGATTTTCAATTAAAAACGACACTGATAAGTAATATATGTGTCAATACATCTCTCGACCAATCTCCCAATATCGTGCAAGGGCTCAGGGGCAATACCTATCGGATACGCTTGCGCGCACGCTCTGGATGGAGTTAGGTGGAGTTCAAGCACGCCCTCGGCCACTGCTCCAGGCTCGGCGGCTCGCCAGGGGGCCAGGCTCCCGAGCGACGGCAGCCTGAGCCTGAATCTAGCCTAGCACCAAGCCGAGCCAGTGCTCAGGCAGAGAAAGAGCATGTCGTGCTGATAGCGTGTTATAAAACATGTCGCCAACGGTTAGGACCTTTCCCTGTCCGTTATTAATGATCAACATATAGTAGATGAAAATATAACGCGTTGACATAAGAGATAGAGAGATTATTCTTTATTCATCTAAATATTGGTCATTACAACGTAGAGCTCCAATTTATATAGTGTTGCCAAGGCCTAAGAATTAGGATTCCTCACTACCCGAGATCGGCTCTTTGCCGAGTGCCAAGTGGTTTGCCGAGTGTTGTTTTTCGGGCACTCGGCAAAGACGCCTTTGCCGAGCGTTTTTTTGACACTCGGCAAAGAAGCTCTTTGCCGAGTGTTTTTCTTGACACTCGGCAAAGAAGCTTCTTTGCTTCTTTGCCGAGTGTTTTTTTTTTTTGACACTCGGCAAAGAAAATTTCAAAGCACATTTTGAAGCGGTAAATTAATTCAAATAAAAAAGTTTTCAACTACAAAGTTGTATAACTCATCAAGATGTACAATGTTTGTTTTGGTCTTTTCTTCATATGACAAAGTAAAAATAAATTTGTTCACAAATCTAACATATCTCTCTCGTAGTTTACGAAACTACAAGAGATATATATAAGATTTGTGAATAATGTTAGAACGACCATGTCGGATGAACAGATGACCAAACAACCAATATAAACTTTGTAGATCTCGAAAAGTTATGAAACTTTGTAATTGACAACTTTTTGATTTGAAATCATCTTGTCATTCAAAACTGTGTTTGAATTTCAAAATTTTAAAATTCAAACTTTTCTAACGACCTCGGATGGAAAAACAACCAAAATAAACATTGTAGATCTCGAAAAGTTATGAAACATTGTAGTTGGCAACTTTTTGATTTGAAATCATCTTGTCATGCAAACTGTGTTTGAATTTCAAAATTTTAAAATTCGAACTTTTCAAACGACCTCGGATGGAAAAACAACTAAAATAAACTTTGTAGATCTCGAAAAGTTATGAAACATTGTAGTTGGCAACTTTTTGATTTGAAATCATCTTGTCATGCAAAACTGCATTTGAATTTCAAAATTTTGAAATTCAAATTTTGTAAACGACCTCGGATGGAAAAACTTCCTAAACTAAAAGTGTAGATCTCGAAAAGTTATGAAACTTTGTAGTTTACAACTTTTTTATTTGAATTCGTTTAAGGCCTCAAACAAGCAATTTACACTCGGTTTAGTATAATATATTGGGAACTAAAACGAAATCCATACATAAGTGAAAGTGTGGTGTAGTGGTAGAGGAGGTTCGTGCGCAGGGGGAGATCGCGGGTTCGAATCCCGCCGGCCACGTATATGCGAATTTTATGCGAGAAATGCCGAAGATGGGTGGGCGCTGGCCAGTGGGGGCCTCCACCGATTAAAAAAAATCATTTTTTGGGTAAAAATTCCCATTTTTTCGGGTTTTTTCGGTTCCAACTTGCCGAGTGCCCGACAAAAGACACTCGGCAAAGACGCCTTTACCGACGCATTTTTTGCCGAGTGGTCTTTGCCAAGTGCAGCACTCGGCAAAGTCTTTGCCGAGTGCAAATTGGGCTTTGCCGAGTGCCAGGGCACTCGGCAA